CCCCAGGCACTGTCCCCTCAGGGTACTGTCCCATGTCACTGTCCCCTCAGGGCACTGTCCCTAGGGCACTGTCCCTCCATGTTCCTGTCCCCCCAGGGCATGGTCCCCTCAGGGCACTGTCCCCTCATGTCACAGTCCCCCCAGCATCCTGTCCCCCCAGGGCACTGTCCCATGTCACTGTCCCCCCAGCGTACTGTCCCCAGGGCACAGTGAGTGGGATCTGCACGGCAGCAGTAGGTCATCATCTGACCCCTGGCGGAATGGTGATTAAATGCTGGTCTGTTAATGGTAGGTCTGCAGTCTGCACCCAGCAGCTGCACTGTGGGCAGAAGCCGTGGCATTCAACGTCTGCAAACATCACAGAAACGTACCGCGTGGCGCCTGCCTCACAGCTGACCCCTCACTGCATTTCCAAAGTGTGGGTCACTCAGGAGGAGACCGTCCATTCTTCCCCTCCAGGACCGGGCAACCTCTGGTTAACAGCACAGTCCACCACGGACCACCCCACCAGGGATCCTTCCCAGCTGGGAACCCCATCCCACAGGGTCACTGAGTCAAGACAGATGGCCGCCTCTCTGGGTGTCTGCTTTCCTTGACGGAGAAGATCAGCTGCCCTGTGTCTCCTCCCATGGGGCCTCCAGTGGCCTCATTGGTTGGTAGGTGAGCTGCTCACCAAAGGCACGCCTGTCCGGTGGTTCAAATCCATTCTAAGCCACCAACTGCTTTGAGGGCCAAAGATGGCCAGTCGTCTGCCGTGCTAATTACAGGCTGCTGGAGGGTCAGCTATGGATCAGTTGCCACTCACCGAAGTCATAAAAGGCAGTGACTTTGACTCTGTAAAACTCTGACCTCCTCCTCTACCACCTACAGCTGTGGAAACCCACCAGATGGTCCGCTGTGAGTGGGACCAGCCCCTCAGTGAGGGGTGGGTTAACCGGTGGGTGCACAGGAGAAGCACATCCGCGGCCGCTGAGCCAGGCTCACTGGATGGTGGTAAGGAGGGGACTAAGGTCCTGCTCGGTCCCCCTGGGTGCCCAGCCCCCCACTCACCACGCAGCTTCTCCAGGGGGTCAAAGCAGCCCTCCTCCACCTGGGCGAAGTAGCGGGAGCAGTCCAGGAAGTAGGGCCAGGCCATGTCGATGGCATCGAAGGCTGGCTGGCAGGCCCCCCGCAGGCCCTCACACACGTGCCGGCAGGGCCTCCAAGGGCGGCCATCCTCACAGCGAGGGGCCAGCACGGCACAGCCCAGCAGCCGCAGGTCGGGGTTGCACTGGCCTTCCAGCAGGTGGGACAGCACGCTGAGCAGGATGTACTCCGTGCTGGCCTCCACGGCGTCCCGGGACCGGTGCTCCAGCAGCGTGGGGAAGGCCGTCTGGTTGTAAGGGACGTCACCACAGGTATGGAGCTGCATGTCCACGCAGGTGGCTGGAGGGAGGCAAGATGGCCGTCACTGCCCCATCTGACATGCAGCGGCTTCACAGACTGGCAGGGGAGGGACAGGGCCAGGGCTACACAGGGCACCCCAGGGAACAGAGAGCCTATGGCCACTCACTGGGCTGGCTCTGAACCCCCACCAGCAGAGGCACCGTGGAGGTCTCTCTCTACGTCTCAACGTTCCCATCTACAAGATGGGTGCACACAACCTGCCCTGCTGGTCAATGTGAATGCCTGGGGGTGCAAACATTCACTCCCCCAACTGTGGGCTCACAAGGGGTGTACCTGCTCACTCTGTGGACTGTGGGCTCACCTGGGGGGGGTGCATCTCCTCTCCCCTGACTGTGGACTCACCCGGGGGTGCAAATGCTCACTCTCCTGACTCAGGGCTCACCTGAGTAGTGCAAATGCTTCCCCAACTCTGGGCTCCCCAGGAGCGCATCTGCTCACTCCCCCAGCTGCAGCTTAAGTGTGTGCAGAGCCCCCTCAGAGGAAGCCCCCATGCCCTCGTTCAGAGCAGCCAGTCACTACCACCCCTGAGGAGAGCTGAGTGACTCCAACACCCGGGCAGTCAACACCCAGGCGGTCATGAGCTGGAGCTGGAGGCACCAGAATCCCAGAAGCAAGTGTCCGGGCACTGCTCACACCACCTCACTGTGCTGGTGGCCGCAAGGCGGGAGGTCCAGTTCACCCAGAGGCTCCTGGAGGGATGGCTGGTGAACTACTTGGAAAACTGGCCACTGAATACCTTGTGGCCTCTGACACCCAGGGTGACTCATCTCATGGGAAGGGGACCTAGGGTCTCCCCTCAACTCAAGGGACAGTGCCTGGGTGTGGTCAGTTTAGCAGGCGTCACTTCCAGGCACTCCCCACCAGCACTGGACATCGGGCACTAGTGGAGGGCTGGGTGAGCCGTCGAATTGGGTCCAGCTCACGGCAGCTCCAGTGCGGGGCTGCCCCCAGAGTTTCCTCAGCCCTCCTACTTGCAGGCGCTTCCTCCACAGAGCCACTGGGGGCTTCACACCACTGGCCTCTGAGTGAGCAGAGAGTACTTTAACAGCTGTGCCACCAGGATCCACGGAGGTGCTAGAGCAAAGTAAGATTAAAATCTTTGTGGAGCAGGATGAAAACAGGCTTCCGAGAGCTCATCACTTCAGAAGGGGCGGCCAGCCTGCTCCTGCTCTGCCTCGGTCTGCAAGCTCACTGACACCTGTCCAGCACAGGTGACCCTGCTGGTGTCTGAAGTATGAGCAGCGCCACTTCCAGCCTTAAAGTGGCATGCAAGCCATCACACGACGACAAATGGCAGTGTCCCGCGGACATCTCCCACAGATGGCCAATGGAGCAAGCACGTCTGTCCTGGAGGAATCGTGACTGTAGAGCCCTACAGAGGAAGAAACGGCGAAATCTGTCCCACACACTCCAGGCCTGCTGCCAGGAGGGGCTAGGGCTGGCAGAAGGACACCATGCTGGGAAAAGTGGGGGGTCAGCAAAGGAGAGGAAGATCCTCAACAAGCCAGACCAGAACAACAATGGAAAACAGAGGGTGTGAGGCTGATGCAGGCCCAGACAGGGTTCTGTCTCCAGCTGTCCATGGGGTCCCCATAAGTCAGAGCCAATCCAGCAGCACCTGACGACAGCAACACGTTCCCATTAAACATTCCAAACACAGAAGTGAGAGGCAGACGTTCTAACAGAGCACAAACAGCCAAGGTAGGCAGGCTGGTCCAGAGGGAAGCCTGTGGTCAGGATGGGGACAGGGAGGAGACAGGAAGAAGTCAGACGAAATGCCCAGTCACATGCTGGGCTTGCACCTCCTTCCATAAAGTGACAGGAGGCATCGCTGACCCTGGCACCCCTCCCCCTCCCCGTCCTTCCCAGCATTGGCGGCCACAGGTACCACAGGTACTGACGCTCCAGCATGACCAGCTCCTGTACACACACACACACACACACACACACACACACACACACACACGCACCCAGCAGAACACAGGGAGAGCGAAGACCACTCCTGAAGGATCTGGAACTCTGTGGCCAGGAAGTATGGCTGTAAATTCAGACACAGAGCTGGAAAGGGACTGTGGTGTGTGCTGAAGGATTAGAGGCCAAAGCTACTACGAACACAGGAGAGTCGTCATCAGGTTGCTGCTAAAATGAACTTCACTGGCTTCTCACTCTTTCTTCAACCGTTGGCAGCTCTGGCCCGGCAGGAAGTCCACCCATGACGGTGCTGTCCCTCGACCACAGGGTGGCACTGTGGTCAGCGTTTCTCCAACTGAGGGGCTGCGATTTCAAGCTGAAAGGCAGCTCCCTGCCCAGTTCAGCCAGCAATGGTGTCCCCCAGTCCACCCCCACCACCAGGTCCTCAGCGGTCCCGCTGCCCATAGGTGACCTCGAATCTGCTCAGCCTCAGAGACCTTACGAGCAGTGGAATGAAGCCCAGCCGGTCAGGTGTTTGCCACCTCCGACCCCACTGTAACCGTGCTGTCAGTTCATCTCACTGAGGGCCTCTGTCTTTTCCACTGGCCCTTAGACCCTCCCCCAACTGACTGAAACCTTGAACAAAATCAAAGGGGTCCAGCCACCTGCCTGTTGAAGAAGAAAGAGTCCTTCTCTGAAACTAACATGAAACCTTCCAAGAATCTGAGTGCCCCATCACACGCTTGTATGTTTTGTGTTGTGTCTGTTGTGTGTTATGTCTGTGTGCATGTAGAGCTCTATGGGTGTGCATGCTCTGTCTGTCTATACATAGCTGTACACGCGTACGTGGATGTGTTATGTCTGTACATATGTGCGCATCTGTGTACTTCAGGTATGTGTATACCAGCATGTTACATATGTCTGTAAAATGTCTTCCTAGACTCCAGCTGTCAGTGTGGATCACATAGACTCCAGCTGTCAGTGTGGATCACATAGACTCCAGCTGTCAGTGTGGATCACATAGACTCCAGCTGTCAGTGTGGATCACATCTCAACATCAAGAAAACCCTCATCATTTGATCAATAAGCACCATGATACATGGAGAGAAGACTGAAACTGTCAACAAATTCACTTCACCCAGATCCACAATGAGGAGACATACAGGTTTAGGCAAGTATGCTGTCAGGGACTTCTCAGAAGGGGGTGGGGGTGGGGGTGGTGTTTTGCACAGCCAAGTTGCCTACAATTCATAGCGACCCTATACACAACAGCTCTGAACCCTGTTCTATCCTGAGCCAATCTCACTGCCTCAAACTCACCTACCTTTGTTACCCTAGTTACTATGCCAATCAATCACGTCCAGCATCTTCCTCTCCTGCTCTGTCTCTCCACTCTTCAGAGCATGATGTCCTTCTCCAAGGACTGGTCTTTCCTAGCAACGTATCCAAAGTATGTGAGACATAGCTTCAAAATCCTTGTCTCCAATGAATAACTTGGCTTCATCTCTCCAGGACAGACCTGTTAGTTCTCTTGAAGGTCCATGGTAAGTTCAGTACTCTTCTCCAGCACCATAGCTCAAAGGCTTGAATTCTATTTCTGTCATCTTTGGTCATTGTTCAGCTCTCTGATACATAACAGGTAATTGTGAAGACCATGGCCTGGATTAGGTGCACCTTAGTCTCTAGACTGACATCATTGCTCTTTAGCACTTTGGAGAGGTTCCTGACAGTAGGTTTTTCTAATGCAACTTCTCTTTTGATTTCCTGACTGCTGGTGCCAAGAGTGTTGATTGTGGAATCAAGTAACCTGAAATTATTAACAACCTCAATCTCTTCTTCCTCTATCATGATGCTGTCAATTTGTCCAGTGATAAGAATCTTCATTTCCTTGATATTGAGCTTCAATCCATATTGCAGCCTACAGTCCTTCATCGTCTGCAGCAAATCCTTTAGGTCCTCCTCAGTTTCAGTAAACAAGGTTGTATCATCTGAGTAGAATAGATTGTTGATGAGTCTTCCTCTAATACTGATGCCACATTCCTCCTCATAGAGCCCAGCCTCCTCAATGATCTAGATTGAAAAGGCATGGGGACAGGACGTCTCCCTGACACACACCTTTCCTGATCCTAAACCATGCAGTGTTTCCTTGGTCTGTTCTGATGACTGCCTCCTGGTCCAAATAGAGTTTTCGCATAAGCACAACCAAGTGTTCTGGGATGTCCATTCTTCTCAACGTTACCCACAATTTGTTGTGATCCACACAGTCACAGCCTTTGCATAGTCAATGAAACACAGATAGACATTCCTCTGGTATTCTTTGCTTTCAGCCAAGATCCATCTGACACTGGCTGTAACATCCCTAGTGCCATGGCCTCTTTTAAACCCAGCTTGTATTTCTGGTAATTCTTTTTCAATGTACTGTTCCAATTGGTTTTGGATGATCTTCAGCAGGATTTTGCTTGTGTGTGGTATTAGTGATATTGTTCAAGAATTCCCACGCTCTATTGGGTCACCTGTTTTTGGAATGGGAATAAATATGGATCTCTTCCAGTAAGTCAGCCAGGTAGCTGTCCTTCAGATTTCTTGGCATGATCTGGTGAGGACAGACAGGGTTGCATCAGTTTGTTGAAATATGTCAATTGGTTTTCCATCAATTTCCGGGGCCTTGTTTTTTGCCAGTTCCTTCAGAGCAGCTTGAACTCCATCACCATTGCCTCTTCATCACATGTTATTTCATAAAATTCTTCAGCGTCAGCCAATTCTTTTTGGTACCGAGACTGTACTCTTTCCATCTTCTGTTATTGCTTCCTGGATCACTCATCCCACTCAAAGCACCCTTAAGTATTGACACTCAAGGCTGGGGTGTGTTCTTCAGTTCCTTCAGCTTCAGAAACGCCAAGCAAGTTTGGCCCTTTTGATTTTCTGACTCCAGCTCTTTGCACATTTCATTGCAATACTTTGCTTTGTCTTCCCGTGCTGCCCTTTGAAATCTTCTATTCAGCTCCTTAATTTCTTTATTTCTTCCCTTTGCTTTGACTTATTGGCACTGTAGTGCAATATTCA